GGGGCAACATTTTCCACCTCTTGACTTGCGATCATCTTTCTCACAAATCCGAGCATATGGCGAGAGAGGGGTTGGAAAAACACGGTGACCCTAACATGATTCAGTTCTATTAGATTTTCTTGACTCAGTAGACGCTTTTGTCGCCAGCTCTTTCAACAATGATGGATGTCACGATAGTTAGGAGTTGAACTCTGATCCCTTCCAAAGCTTCTATGTTTCGAAGATTTATTTTTCTATGTATTTGTGGAACGTTTGCACTGTGAAAGGTAAACGGCTCTATATACGTTTAAAAAACCCTTGGCTAACGCCCTTTTGAAGTAGTAATCTTCCGGAGAAGTTCTGATGCTTTATTTAATTAGACAGCTTGGAAATTCTAAACTTGTTAGCCGATTTCCACAGAATCACTACAGATCTTCATAGATCATTGTGAAGGAACCTTCCTTTTAAAATGCTGGAAAGGCGTGGGTGAAAAAATTCTTCGAAAAATTATATAGGCTTTCGTGCCAAACACTTCAAATTTGCTTTGACAGAAGTTTTAGAAGCCTAGTAAGGGTTATGTTAATTTCGAAGCAGTAAATTGCAGTCGTATGAAGTGATCCAACTTTAGAGATTCAAAAATTGCCTCAAGAGGAGATTTTTTACAGAGTTTTGGTGAGGGTTCAATTTGGAGCGAATTGGAATTTTGCAAAATCCAAATAAGCTTGAACTTACAGATTCATCTAGGTACAAAGAAGTGACCATTGGTAAGCTGAACACTTCCGTGTCAGAAAATTCCCCAACTCGTGATTCTTTGACTTTATGGCTTTTTAAAATGCTTCCATTGCTATTCAGAAGCTATGATTCGAGCGTCCAGTATCTTCGAATAGCCCTACATTAAAGCAGTCCTCAAAAACGGTATGACTTTTGAAAGAGGGAAGCTGCATTATAGAGAATTTGCCCTTGTTAACCTCACGATAATGAGAGCCATTTGGTATTGAGTACTGACGAGGCCATGGCTCTCCAAGCTATGCTTGACACTAGTAGTCCCTACTCAAAAAGTAATCTACGCAGGGAGGAGCATCAGCAGCGACACCTCGCTGTCAGGCTATAAAGAGCAGCGCGATAGAGTTTCACGGCGCACCGCTCTTCAAAGCAGATTTGAATGCTGCGTCTTCAATATCTGTCCATGCATGTACATACGTTCTACTACTTGCTTATTCGCGTTAATTCGTCTAAAAAATAATGGCGATTTGAATTTTTTGAATTTAGCGCAATATTCTTATCAGTTACGCTACAACATGTATATCCTCCACTAACAAGTTATAAGCTAACTAAGAAGGAGGTTTGAAACTGATGATAACTGAATTCAGGCAGGAGCTCATTATCCAATTCGTGGGAAGTGGGCTTTAATGCGAGGAAGGGTCAGCTGCTAACAAGCGACTAATTCCGTAGAATCGGATTTGACCCGAGTTGAACGCTCGACCCGTCAATGAGTCCACGTTCGAACATTTGTCATTCAGAGTTGTAACTATAATCCTTCGCAAACTGTCACACTCTCACCTCGAAATAAGTAGATGAACAATAAGGCGAGATCACTGAATAGTAAGACACAATTAGTGAAATCTCAAAAGATCTCGCTCCACGCAGTCACCACCTACATATTTTCTGACTCGGTTTTGATCGTTTACTGCTGTTTTTGACCTAAGTTCACCTTGCCCGGTAAGCGTAGGTGCGGCTTCGAGTCCCGTCTGGGAGTAAGTATTGCACCTTGTTTGTTTTTCATCTGTATCTCCTCCATGAGGGACAAATAAGGTTCTCCTTCCTGCTTTTGGCTCACGAGCTGTGCTTCTGCCTTGTCTCCCTAGGTATTGACCCTCAGCCTATTCCTGTGTAGTAAGAGCACAATTACCCCAAAGAGAAGTTTAACTAGCCTGCAAAGTTTATTGCTTAACGCGTTTGGTTTTGACATAATGTTATTTTTTCCGAGTAATAAAAACATTTTAGAAAAATAGATTGTTGCGCAGCAAAAAAATGTGAGCGTAAAGTTTTGCTCTGGACCGATAGCTGACTTATCCATGGGGTTTTGGAGTAATTTGCTACCAAATGATTCTACTAATGGATGGTGTAAGCAGTGCATTTCTGAACTAAATTTTGCTAAAGTCAAGCTTAAAAGGACATTTGCTGATTAGGGATTTCAATTGTACATGGAATAGCAAAAATTCGCCTATAACAAGCAGTTCACTTCCAATGTTGCTATTTTCACTAATTCTGGACTTTTGGGTCCATAATTGTGCATCTCATGAGAAATGAGCATCTTTCTCTTTGCTACTACACAACAATCGAAAAGGCAGATGCTATCGTAACCCTCCAGGAGTGAACCTCGTAGGGGCGGAACTTTGGGGGATTGCTTACGAACCTTGGAGCCCCTCCCTCCACTTGGTCCCGTTTCCAACTTAAATAGGGTCTTTTTACGCGATTTTGAATGCATTGCCACCACCTTGCAATGCGCTAAAAAGGATACTTACTATGTCAAGCAAGTAATTATCGTACGTTACTTGACCTTTCATGCATTGCACGAATATTTTACAACTTAGGCTTTTACGTACAACAGGCATCACATTAGTGGAGAGACATCAACCATCGCTAATACCGTCCAAAGAAAAACCGGAAGAGAAGTGACAGCTCACTTGTGTAGCACTAAAAGCACAGACATATAAGCTTTCTTTTGGATTACACTAATTGTGAAGAGCAACTGTTATTACACTGATATACAATAGCATTGTTTCACAAACATAACTTCCTTGTTTTACATTGACTAGCAGTTGCTATTTCACGGACGCAGCTGCTCTTCAGCACTGCAACTACATGTTGAAGTTGAGTATAGTGAAAATGCTGAGCTATCGCGAAGCATTTGAATATTTATTTACTTATTGTTTACTTATTGGTGCACGCTTAGGTGCGCTACAACAATTCCTTGATCACATTAATCAAACAAACTGCAGTCAAATGTGGGTAAATTATGGTATAAACAAAAGGTACGAAGGTCTCCAGTCAGGTGTGAAGAAAAAAAGTGAATCAAAGTCAATGCGCATCTTAGAAAAGTTAAAAGCATACTAAGGACTGTATAATGGTTGAAAGGGCACCCATATTTGATTCCAGTAGTTTAGTAGAATATTTAGTTTTTTATTAACGCATTTGGCTGTACTAGTAGGGACATGTGTGAAGGGCTCCTAAAACAAGGATATCGCTAAATATCTTTGATGAATTGCGCCTGTCAGCTACTAATTGATGCTCATTCGGGGCCACTAGACACATCATTAGACAGTAATTATGGTAACCTGTTTAGCTGATCGCATGTCTCATGCGATATAATCAATCACATTGCATTCGTCTCACTTTGCAAGCTGTGATTTCGTGCCCTAGTGAATAACTGATGAGCTGGAGCTTTTCAACAACCTGCATCCTTTTAACACATCCGCGTCAGTGGCAGCCCATATGGTCTGCCGGCCAATAAAGCCTATTAGTCGCTTATTTCGCAATTTCTTCAGATATGTTTTGGTATCAATTGAGTGGCTGTGGATCATTTTATAACACTAAAGATGGTCCACAGGAAGTTCAGATTTGGTCCTTTAGGAGAGATTTTTTTTGGCAAGCAAAATTTTTAGCTCGACTCCGACTGAAAAGTCTAAACGTGCGTCGTCGTGAATGTGTTAAGAATTTATTCAGAGGGTTTACCGTTGTTGATGTCCTAATTAGCTCATGGTATATGCTTTATCTACTTGGGAGCTTGGGTTAGGGACGTATCCTATACTTTCCCCCCAGGCTAGGGGAACAAAAAAGTCCTCTTTAAAGTTATTTTTTTTCAACGAGGCTCCCCTCACTTTCCGCACTTGTTTGCTTTTTTGCGCATATATACATTACAAATATGCAGTTCTCATGGCGATTTTTGTTGAAATTGCTGTTGAGATTGAAACTGTTGAAATTGAAAATTTTGAGGGATTTTTGTCCCCCTAGTTTAGCGGAGGATAGGATACGGCCCATCATTTTTTAATGACCTGTAGGTGCTTTAGGCGTGTTTTTAACAGTCCGTGAACACTTTTCACATTTCTCACCTTCTTGTTCAATTAGATGCATTCCAGTAATGTGGTTTCGTATCAAAATTTCTGCGGCCCAATGCTGCACCTGATCAAATTTTCCGCTTATAGCTGGCACGGCGCCGAAATTGGATTCCTCGAGATGAGGAGCTGAGACTTGCACTCGAGTTGGGGAAAGTAAATTGGAACTCTTCCTATGTTGAAGCGTTCAGGCAAACGAAGTGAAGTGCGCAAGCGGCTCTGCAAGCTTCACGCTAGACGAAACGAATTCCCTAGACATTCAAAAGAGAAGCACGATGCGTGTGGCCATTTATCACTACATGACGACTGATTAGCATACGAATACTTTCCGTTTGCCAATCTTCACCCCCGTGCATAACCCATCCAGTAGGTAACACTTTCCTCGCTTTCCTCTATAAACCTAGTCGAGGTGGATTTATTTATTTATTTATTTACTTATATACTCATAAAAGTGCACCAACGTCCAACGGATTATATATGTGTTCACAAAAAACTACTGATTTAAAAGTGTTAGCCTCTGATTTCGAAGTTCCATATAAGCTCAATCCCAGCATACGCACTTTTTCAGAAATTCAACAATCCCTCTCTCCTGCAACCACAAATCCTCCCGTTTCTGCTTTTCCAAGAAACAGTTAACCCTAGTCAACCCCGAATATGACTCCTCCCTAAATTGCTAACGCCACCCTTCCACCCCCCCCCCTCCCCACCTTCGGTTCGAGTAGTTGGAGCTATCTTTGGCCCTGGTTCCATCTCCTCCTGCGACATTGGTGAACCTTTGTGGGCATCGGCCAACGAAGTTTTCCTTTTTTCATTTCCGGTTCTTACCCGTTCATTTCGTCGTTGGCGTTCTGTTTATTCTTAATAACGTATCTACATATTGTAGCGCAATCTCACATCGTATTCTAGATGCTGGCTCTTTTTCTGATATCTTGCTTGCCTCATTTGGTCCACGGCGAGCAAACTATTGTGGAGGGCCCTCAGGAATCATTTGTCTTCAGTGGCCAAACTGTAGTCCTCAAATGCAAAGTTGATAATCAGGTGTGTTGTGTTTCAGTCGAATACCTTTGAAGTTTTTCTACGTTGACGAACATTGTGATTTGCTAGAATGAAGTTACTACTATGTTGCCATGGTATTAATTAATTAGTTTTTTTTGCTTTGTTTTTTTTAATTATCTATGAGGCCGGTGTCACACTTTGCGAATAGAGCGATTCGCTAGTGTCCGCGGTCGCGTTGCGGTACCAGCCAATAGAGCGATTCGCTGGCCACAGCGCGACCACAGACGCAAGCGGATCGCTCGATTCGCAAAGCCTGACATCGGCCTAACTTTCTATGTTATCAAATTGCCTTAGCGATTAAGAATAGATTCCATTACCACTCTCATGTTTGGCTCACTGAGCAATAGAAATGCATTCATTCAAAATAATCGATTTTAGAAAGGGGCTGTGCAATGGATGAAAAACGGGTTTGGGCTCGGTGTAGACCGACAACTGAAGTTTTTCCCAAGGTACTCTATGATAGGCAGTGCAAGCAAAGGGGAATACAATCTACAGGTAAAGCTTAACTTTTACGCGTCTTCGAACTACGCCACTTACTTATGGATATCGAATCAGTTCAAAAAACACTTTCAGATAACAAATGCCACGCTTGGCGATGACGACATCTACGCTTGTCAGATTAGCGAAGCTGCTCATGAACCGTCGGTGATATCAAGCCCCGTCAAGCTCACAGTTCTCAGTAAGTAGTAATTATTGAATCGCTATGTCAAAATTTCGTTTAAACATGTTACGGGTCATTTCAAGTTATCTTGCAAACACTGCTGGAGCTTCTGAATGAGCATCTATGATTTCCTGATTATTGATTTACTGATTTATCTATTTATTTATTTATTCTTAGCTTATTTATTTATTTAATTCTCTATTTATCTATGTATTTATTATATGTTGTTCGATGTAAGGACATCGCGACTTCCCAATAGTGAACCTGGAAAACAAATTTTACGGCCATAAGAAATCCTGAATTCAAATATCAGCGTGGACCTAATCAAAAACTGACCAGCCATTTTTTTGAGAAGTGATACATATCGATAAAGATCTACGCCTCGTTGTCGACCTCAGCCATTATTCCGTTAAAATGTGACGGGGACTCCCAGGGGTGTCCAGAATGCCCGCATAGATCGATAGTAAAATAGGTCCGACGAGAGAGGGGCAGAGTTCGCAGTGAAAGTTGCTTTCATCAAAAATTTAAATGTCTTTAAGAATCAGCGAAAGAACATCGCCTTATTCACAGCTGATTGAGAATAGACACTACAAAGTACAGAGTAAGTGTTATCCCTGTCAAAAAGGGCATTAGGGACTCGATGAATGTACGCAGCCTAACTAGTGCCTGTCAGAAGTAAAGGGGCCTCTCACATCACATCCATAATTTGAAAATTCTCCACAAAAAAAGTCAACTGCTCGATCCCTTCCTTATGATCTCGCCTACTTTTGGGCGTAGCTGGACATCACAAGGTGTCGGTATGTCAATAAGCTTTGAATACTGCATTTATTTATTTATTTATTATATTTGTTGCTCAGGTCACGAGGCCAAATATGGCACAATGCAATAAGTCATTTCACAACCGATTGACTTTGCTTCAAATAGTCTGAAAAAGAGGTTTTTTTTTCACTGGCATGGAGCTCCATAGGACTCGTATATGTTGAGCTGACTTGAGAAAAACAGTGCGTTCTACATGTTCTTTTACTAATATCCATGCATTCAATGATCAAAGAGATAGAATGATTAGCTCATGCAAAAACGACCCATGAATACCTCAGCTGTTTAAGGAAGTAATTTTCTTCTACAATAGTTCTACTGCTCACTTTGATAGTAAAGATTGAAAAGAAGGGAGTTGGAAGAACGATTTTTCAGACCCAGCGGTTTTTTCTTGAACAATAGGACCGCCGCAATCAGTAGAAATGCTAGGGACGCTAATGTCCTCTCAACTTTTTTGATATACTATGATTCACTTCTTCGACATACGAGTAATCTATCGCTCAAATCACTGGCCCAAAGGGCAAACAAATATTTATTTTTATTCATTTGCTTACTTATTTATATTTGTTAATTCATATTTATTTATTTCCACTTGTTTATTCACTTATTTGTAATGAGAGATGACTGTAGGATGCTGTAATATCCAACAGTTTTTTCTGCATATCTTTTGAAACAGATGAGTCATCCCACATACCGTTTGAGAACTTAAAGGCAAACCCCGGGATTGGCCCGACTGGAAGGAGGGATACCACGAAGGGATTTGTAAGGTCCGTACCTACTTAGAATACTCCAGCTTCGTCGCTAAAATTGGGCGTGAGGGCGCTAGTCTTTACGAGCCTGCAACCATCGACCCCGATCCCAACGCCTCCCACCCACCTCGAGAAATGGTGAGATCAGCGTGCGTTGATGTAGAGATCAGCGTGCTCTCTCAAACAGCGTGCTCTCTCGCGCATTTTGTATTTTTTGATCGCCCTCTCTCACCATCGTTTCACATCCGACCTTACTGGAGGTTAGGGCCTTAGTTTCAGCGTCCTCAATAACTTCTCTTGCTTTCCTCCCATCTTTCAGTGTTCCGCAGCTGCCTGCTACCACGAGCGCTAATAGCACTCATTCCAGTCTCGAAGTTACCTTTAATGTATGTACCCCACCGCTTCTCTACGATATTCAAGTCCAATCTCGGATCTCAACAATTCCTGCATTGCAAAAGGCCAATAGCAAATTTTTGCGTCACGTTACCGAAATAAGAGCTCAAATTGTCCAGAGACACCGCCTTTATTTGACAAAATTAATCAATCATTATAGCATATTTATTATTAATCATTAAAATATAATATATCTAATTTCGAACTTTATTAATGTTATCATTATAGTATACATTGATTTATAATATGTAATCTTCTTATCATTCAATTATTTATCATTTGCCCTACATTTAAGTTATATTATTTATTTATTTGTTACGGGAGCTGATTCAAGCGCATTGTTACATCATTAACTAAAATAGAGAAACGGTGACTGCAAGATAACAGTGCGGCAACAAGTAATAATGAAAGCGTTCAACTTAAAATTCCAATTTCAGTTCGACCAACACCGCCGAAATTGCTCAAGAAAAGTCATGTGATGAATGCAATAGCAGGGGAAACTATAGTGCAATCTTGTCTCTCCAAGAAAGGTGCTACATTGGCAATATTTAGAAGCAACTGCTTTTGCAGAAGTTGTTATATTATTTTTATAGATAGAAGCGTATTGTATTTAGGAAAACCTCCACCGCGTCTTGGGTGGGCACTTAGTAATGATCCTGATGGTCGTAGCATTGCTACATGGCTAGGAGAGACACGAGTCAAGTTTTCTCACCTCTTCAGTGAGTTGTACAATAAAAATCGCTTTTTCTGAAGAATTTTTGAGTTCACTCGCCACTATAGAATCACATGGAGTTACGCAAGAATCTTTGCAAGCAGAAATTCAAGAAGAAATACAAAAAGATGGCCATGGTTACATAGTGAGCAGTAATGTAAGGTAGGTTATTCGTGGCGCTCAATTCTATCGAATTCCTGACAAAACAGCATTTTCAGCTTCGTTCCCCGTCCTGATGACGATCGGAAATATCTTGTGTGTTTGAGTCAACACGACACCTTCCCAGATAAGGTATTCTTTAAAGTAGACTTCGATGAATATTTTGTGTTGCGCTTACTGATGAAGACGAAAAAGATGATAAGTGAATGGAAAAATATAGAGGATGACTAGTGTTGTGTCCTTCTCTTCACTGGCTGTAGACAGCAACTTTAATTCCAAATTCTTCCTAAAGCATCAACTCCAGATGAGGTCGTGTCAAAAACCTATTCTGTGGGTGGGGTGAAATAGCCCACGAGTACCACATATGTGCCGCTCATACGGCTCGAAAGTGCGCAAAGTGGTGCTAGGGCCTTGCAAAGTGATCTGATAGCGACTAGTGTGAAATTATGATCGAGATACCTCGCACACCCCTTGTTACACAACATTGATTACGAAGAGCTGTTAATTCGAAACACGCGGGTCACTGGAGCCATGGAACAGGTCATTTCAGAGAACTCGTCCGGTCGCGCCCCTCCCTCATTCCAAGGGAGAAGAGAGGCAGTAGTTGTTGATGATTACATCGGCGGTTTGCTTTGCTTTTTTTCATTTAAGCTCAGCTCGACTCCGCAATTTTATTATCGACCACTGTTCGCCCGCCAAACTGATATGGGGTTGCGGCTTAGAAATTGTTCATTTTTAGTCAAGTCACAACATTTTTTATTCACTGATATAAAAATGCAATGTCTTTTTACGCAAAAGCCTCTGCTAACTAAATTTCAACGAAAAATCTGAGAAGGTGGTGAAGGAATGGTAGGTAGGTGATGAACGTGTTTGCTCTCCGCCATATCTCTGAAAACAGTGCCAACCAATGCACCAGGATCTTTGGGGTGCTACTTCTCGACCTCATTCTTCTCCCTACTTTCTGACTGTTGAAAACCAGTCAACTTTCCTCCATTTTTGTTCCCTCTTTTGTGCTTACCTTTGTGCTTTTTTAAAACCTTGTTTTTTTTTCATGCCTTTGTGCTTCTACTGAGGCGAAAGTTACAAAGGTCTCCTACTATTTGTTGTAGCTATTTTCTGGTGCACAACTTCTGTTCCATTCGTGCAAGTCCCAGTTTCGCCTTCGTAGCATTATTTCGAAACCGCATGATCTTGCGGCGCAGCATATGTAAATGCAGTGAATATCCCAGGCAAGGACAAAGTGTTCCCGCTAGCGCCCTTACAGCTGCGCAAAAATTGAAATTTGTCTCAGGACGGTTGTTGCTGGCGAAGGCGAGTGAATGAGCGTGTCATCGTACTGTTTCCATTAACTCACTTACAAACGAGCTCTGCGTTCCTGTTTCTTTTCACTACTTTGAGGCGAAAATCGCAAGCAAAAGTGTATGAATGAAGAATGGACAAGAATGGACAGACGGGGGGGGGGTAGAGAAATTCTACGACAAGTGGCGCTCTTGCGGCGGAAAGTGCCATGTCAACGGCGTGATGAGGCGCCGAATGTGCCTCTGAAGCAGGGCCACCGCTCATTACGGTAACCTTGTCCTTTCCCAAAATCGAAGAGCAAATAGATAGTCTAATTCTCGAGTTTTTCCCCAATTCACTTGTTTGTTTTCTTCGCAGGCGCAGCGTTTGGAACTTCTACCTGTTTCTGTCTACGGTACCACTCCTCGCAAAAGCTGCCTTTGATGGCTTAGTTATGAGATTCACTTTTCTGGCTCCTAGCTTATTTGCCACTGGATGATCATTGCTAGACTTTATCTCCTAACTAGGAGGGTCGTTCAGGTCTTGCCTTTTTTTTCAGAGCTGTTTTCTGCATGGTATATGCACACATGCAAACCGTGCATCGTTTCTTCCTCAGTGACCCCTTACGCCGCTAAGAATGGGATAAAATGTTGACTCATGGCTCCATACCCCGTGGTGACAAAGTTTTTTCATTCCCGAAGACGCTCGCGCGATGTTGCAAGGAGGTACACTCGGCCAGTAATGGATGACATATTGCCATCAGAGCTCGCTGAGTAGGTTTTTGTCTGCCAAGATGGTCTGGCGCATACGCAGTGATTCATACATCTCACTCCCTGAGCTTGGATGAAGCTAATGCGGCGACATTGGGAAAACAGACTAATATATAGGCTCTTAAAAAACTAACAATGACTACGGAGTCTCATTAACTCGCGGTCTTAAAGGAGGAATTCACGATTAGAATGAAGGTCGAAGAAAGGGAAACTGACCTAGTTGAGGGACCCACGGACCTCCTGAGGGTGCGAATTGACGCGCACTTTGCATGGAAAAATTTGACCTCTGCGACCTATCATGCCTCAAAGCTGGCGAATCCGGCGATCTCCGCCCACCGATTATCTGATCACTTGCCGTAGTTCAATACGTGGCGAGTGATTAGATAGCTGAGATAGCGTAGTGTTGAAGAGGGCACAGCGATGAGAGTCGCATCAATGCTCGAATCAATGGGCAAGGAAGGGGTACTATTTCTCGGATTCTGGGCCGTTTCTCATGGTTCTTCCTTCTTTCGTGTACCACTCACCATCCATAGTTAATCTGAAATGGGTTGCTTTTTGATCGTGAATTCGTCCTTTAATATCCTGTCATTCGAATCAGTGTAGTCAATACGAAACTTGCCGAACCGATCAAATCAAATCAAAGCTGTTCTTCGGGGTCCATTTTGAGGTGCGTATACTCGAGTAATGTTTTCGAAAGAGGTTCACGCATTGCAATGATTCCTAGATGGATGAACACAATAGGGTTCACGTGTATGAAGCAAAAGAGGAACTTGCTGTAAGGTGTTCCGAAAGGGGAAATAGTTCACCTGCACTTTCCTTGCATTCACTTGCAACAAATCAGTAGTATGGGCATGTAGGTCCTATTACAGCTAACACACAGTGACAGAATGCCTCATTCTCAGTGTGTGAACAGGAAGAACAAAAAGCGACGAATAATGCACAATACGCTTTTCTTTTCAGAGTGAATCCGACTCGCTAAAGCTCGTCCTACAGTACGCTCCACGTGTGAATCTCTCGTTAGCTTCCACACATCGCTTACGTGAAGGCGGATCAGCTCTGCTTGCTTGCAGTGTTGATGCGAAACCGATTGACGACATACGAATCATGTGGTTCAAAAACGGAAACATACCGCTTCCACAGACCACAGACGTGAGATTTGTAACTTTAATATATTTTGTTACATTTGGACAAATGCACCAATTATTGATCAATTTTTGATCAATTACTAGTTGATTATTGACGGATTAAGTGATCAATTATTGATCAACTTCATCGATTTTTTAGACTTTGGTCTTCGAAGTACTCAAAATGGAAGATCACCGAAGTGAGTACACATGCCAAGCGTCAAACTCCATCGGAACCAGCCGTGCATCGCTCAAAATGGACGTATCATGTAGGCATTAGTATTTTTTTACCCCACGTACATAGCATCCAACTAACGGCCAGTCCAATTTTGTTGTGCACTTTCATCGCCAAATCTCATACCGTGCTGGTGCTAATTGCTCAAAAGGTTCCACATTATTGCCCACGCTACATCATACTTGGGTAGTCGAATGACTTATTGCAGATTCTTATACTTATTTTTATTTTTCTTATCAATCTGTTTATATACTTACTGTTTTCCAACGATAACTGCGAAATTTTGAACAAATTCTTCCTGAAATTCTTACCTAGCGACTACAGTAGTCTCGCACCCTTCGATTGTTGCATCTCTTTGCGCTTGCCAAGCTCGACTGCTTGTTTGCCCGTGATACGCTCTATGTATATCTTTACTTATCACCCTTGAATCTAGAAACCAACATTTCTTTCACAAGCACCATAGAAAAATTTCCATTTAGTTACACATTTCGATTATTGATTTTCTATTAAAATACAGATGAAAATCCCTTCAACAACGAAAACCGATTGCAACTATAGTACAATAGCACAATAACGGTAATTTCTTGACCATGCTAACCACGTCCGTGATAAAGTTCAAATGATTTTGCGAATGCATCCACAGCTACCAAACCGTTCAGTTTGCAAAGGACATGGTCTTCATCATAGTTTTTCACACTGACGACGGCCATATGGATGTATACATAAACATCCGCGCAGGAATTGGCAACGGCGTGAGGCGCATACGCATCACGGCCTTGCCAATGTGATAAGTACGCTCCACTAGCGTAGCTCTAACAAGGGAGGGGGGGGGGTGCTTCAGGGCAAGCCACTCTTTTCAAAAGTGTTTTTTTTGCATATAATAGAGACGCATGTAGGGAACACAAAGCCATGTTTCATTTTTGCTGAGCGGTTTAAGCAGTACCAAAAAAGAAGCATAGGTTACTGTTAACACGTTGCGCGCGTTTTGTGTTTTGCACCGCGTGGGATAAGAGCGATTTCGCGAGCGCAGCCGCCGCACACCAAATCCATGGATTTTAATTTGTAAATCCGCAATAATTAGATACGATGAAATGTTTCAATGATGTTCGATCTGTTTAGCTTATCAATGAATTGAACAGACATAACCATAAGGTCTGGAAAACGTCTGCCAAACTAAAGAATACTTGGCCTTTGTGTGAGCCATGTGTTTTTTTAAGTATGCCAATGTATGACCTACAGAATGAGTACAAAGACCTTATGAATAAGTCGCAAAAGGCAAAAAAAGGAATGACTTGCGTGGAACGCGTTGCCGCGTCACAATTTCCCACGAAGTGCGCAAAGTGGGACGCGTTACCGCGTCACGCTGTCGTCAGCATTTAATGGTTCGATCTCCCGCGGCGACTAAATTTTTCATTTGACTAGCATCTACGAATTGGTGCCAAATCGCGCTGACTCTCGAAATCAGGTGTCATATTCATCATCAGGACCATTTTGAAGCCAACAAGTGGCCCACAACATTGATTGCAAGATTTAGTAGCAGCGGGCATCGAACCGTCAAGTGTATCATCCACCACTTTTCGATACTAGTAAAACCATTCAGCGAAAACGAAACAGGGTTTTGTGGTCTTTACATGCACCCATACAATATGCAAGAAGTCGTTTCCAAAAAGCGCGGCTTGCCCGGAAAGACCCCCTCGTAAGATTTGAGGGGCAAACAAATGTCTTCCAGAAACCCGAAATTTATGACGCCATTTTTTTCTTATCCCAGCACCATTTTCTGCAATGCTTGCGGGCATGGCTTTACCGCGGCAAGGATTCAACCGTGGTTTATCATATTGCATTAGCGCACCTATATATTTTTATGTGGTTATTTGACTCTTCGTGTTTATCCCCTTCTCAGCATACTTATAATAATTCCTAGACTACATGTTTATGAATACGTGAGCATTATTACGTGTTGTAGTTGGGCCTCGAATCATGTCGAGTTCGCAAGAAAAAGAAGTCAGCGAAGGCGAATCGACATCATTTCGATGCGATGCCGTTGGAAATCCCCTGCCATTAGTGTTCTGGACAAGAGCAGGAGATGAGCAGATCATTGCGAAAGGAGACACGTTAGTAATAACTTTTCTGCTCGAGAAAACCTTTTTTTAAACGGAATTTTTTTTTCAATTTCAGGATCACGATAGAAAATGTTCGCAACTGGCAACAGGGAGAATACATATGCACAGCAATAGTTGAAGGTTTTAAACACGCCTCTATGTCGCACTTCCTTCATATTCGAGGTTTCTTTGATCCAGTTCTGTTGTGAAAACTCGTGATTTTCACTCATATCATTAAGGTGCCCCAGTGATCACTGTCCCTGCAGAGGTTACAGCGGGAACCGGTGAATCAACAGAGATTTCATGCCATATTAGTGGACGGCCAAAGCCGCTTGAAATTCGGTGGACAAAAGATGGTGAGCCGCTCAACTATGCCAGTGGCCGAACGCAAGTGAGTCATTCGTATGTGCAACACCGTTGACTAGAACTTTGTTTTGTTGGATCATTATGCTCCACGAGACCAATAGCGTGTGTTCACTACTAGCGACCAGGGCCAAAGGTCACTTTCTCCCTGAGCTAAATTTTTTGCAATGTCCTCTTGGGAGAAAAAACCTTATACGACTCCATCCTAAATCATCTATCTTCTGAGCGACCTGTTATAGCGAACAGTGGCTGAAATTGGCTGTTGGCTGTTGTTGAGGGTGAAGATGGAGTTGGGGGGCCATTCCATTCCGCTTTAAGGATCATGATAAGGATAAAGTTCAAAATAAGGCTAAGGATATCTCTAACAGTCAGCCTAAGAGCTTTGATAACACGCTCATTTAAAGCACCTTTTGATACGAACCGGTGGAATACCCTACATAATCGACATCCAATCCATTTTTTGTCCCATTTTCATTGGTCCACCAACTGTGAAGCCCCCCCCCCACCCCACCCTCTCTTCTAAGCCTAGGCAAAATTCGGCTCTTGACTAGGGATCTTTCTCCACGCCATCCCAAGATGACTCCCTCGGTCCCTATCAAAAGCTTCATTGAAGCAACAATCCCATTAAGGTTCTTACGTCGATTCTAATGGTGTGCAAACGATGCTCTAGGCCTAGTCAAGAACATAGTAAGTGTCACTGAACCAAAAACTTACCTATGAAAGCCGCTGGACGGTACTTGACCACTTTCAAAGTGGGCGTTGCCGACAATATTCACTAACGCCCACTTGTAAGCCATGGAGATCGCGTGCTTGGCTGCGGATCATTGCGGAACTCTCCTGAGTTCAAAAAACCTCGTTCATTTCAGGGAGAAACAGAGGGAGAGTCCTTATTTAAGGGCTTCATTGGCAGAACATAATAGGATTGCTCCCTCCAACTTCATGTTCAGCTTCGATAACAATGTCTACGGTCACGTTTGGTAACGAAAAGCGTAAAATCGTTGTATCAGTCCAGATCTCATCCGATATACTCACGCTTGCAATCAAGCAGGCCATTTTGTTTCATCAATCGATTTTGCTTCGAAGGAGAATTCCGAGATAAGCTCAGGATCAAAGATGTCTAAACTTACTTAATGGAAAGCAGGAGGGCCCCGGATGCGGGCCGACACTCAGTTTCCCGGAAAGAATATGCCCCCGGCGGTCTAGCATGGTCGTCCCCGCGGCGCTACCGGTGCGCTACGCCCATCGACCGACCAACCACTCGCAGCAGAAATTTAGCAGTTCAGCAAAGAGAGAGCGTGAACGTTGAGAAGGCGGCACTGATGAAAACCCCATCAATGCGGAAACAAGGGGCAAGGAAGTGGTTCCATTTCTCTGGTTTTTCGCCGTTTCTCGCGGTTTTTCTTCATCCCTACACAACTGATCACCTGTCTCTTAATTGTGATGGGCTGCCTTCCAGAAGGCTGCTCTTCAGGTTGATTCGCTCTTCACCGCCTTCTCGATGAGCTAGCAAATCTCACTTCTCATACGTGACGCACTTTTTTCACATATTCGAGAACCAAACCAGAAATTGGGAAACGTTGCACACCGAAAGCATTGTTAGCAACTATGTTTCTTCGATACATAGTTCGTCCATTTGTCCTTAGAGAGCTGTCCTTTCAATGCTTTCCTAATTAGCTTTTGATCATGTCCTATTTCCTGACCAGTTTGTGGCTCTGAGACTCTATTGCGAGAATATGTCTTTCGTGTATGAAAAGGGAAGAGGCTTTCAGACGATAGGGTTCAGCAACATTGAAAACTCATCCTACACCTCCTTTCTAGAAGTGTGTTGCTGTTGGACGTAATTTTTCTTCTCCACAGTCTCTGCCTTTGCTGTCTGCGCGGAAACCTGGTTAATCCATTTGTTTTGCTTGTTCTTCCTCTGCTACTGTATAGTGTAGGCACAAATTCTGCCAGCAAGGCACGATGGCAGAGCGAGGAGAAGAGGCTTCATATGGGACCGTAGTTTGTGTCCTTTGAATCCTATTCCCATGGTTTATCTGAATTGCTATTGTGCATAATGCAAGGAATTGCAGAATCTGTTATTGGTTAGAGTGAACATAACTACTTATTGCAGGTACATCAGATTCCACGTTTGTATGGAGTGGAGAGTCGTTTGACATTCAAAGATTTACGGGACAGTGATATGGGTATCTACAACTGTACTGCCAATAATGGGATGGCTACCAATTCGAAGAGTGTTCATTTGAAGAGGAGAGGAGTGACCGATATTTTAGGTCAGCGTTAATTTTTTTTACAAAGATGTTAGCATATTTATAATCGGCTGGAAATCGAGCCATCGCTGTACCTTTTGAAGAGGACACTGAAAGGGAAATATGGCTAACAAATGTTAGAGAGATGACCGCGCGAAATGATGCTAGCGCTAAACTAGGGTTACAGTTGCATTAATATGCCTAATGGCCTCTATAGATCTTCAGCTAATGTGATGGGAAAATGTGTCACGCAAAGATGGCGCAGAATGACGTCAGTGCAAAAAATATGAATACTGTATTCGTTGTTAACGTCATCGATTACCCTGTGGGTGAAGTTCGCGGAGTGCTCCTGACTTTTCGAACGCAGACACATGTGGATCATGAAGGGATAAAAATAATTAAAAACGGAAAATGCGAACCGATTCACTCTATGATGAGGAGAAGTTCAAGAAGCAGACAACAAGTAAAGAGATAATGTGAGTCGTGGAGAAGGAATAGAAGTTTGGGTAGAAAGAGCATAGCATGTCAACACTGCGACACAGATAAGATATTGAATGGTGGCACGGATCATTCTGGGCGTCCAAGGGTCGAAGTCCTAAGCGAAGACCTTGGCGTCCAGTGAAGCGTTTAAAGGCACGAAAGCGGTGCGACCACGAGGATTTAGCTCCTCTATCCATGGGAGTGTTGTCAATGAGGCTGAGCCCGACATTTGCGTTCAAAATTTGCAGTAACATTGTTCCAATGACATGCACCTGAGTGCGGATTTCCTGTACAGGTCTAGCCCAACTAAATAAAGATAAAATAAAGACTTCTTTGACAAAAAAGTCCGAAAACGTGAACGGTCCGGAAGACTTCCAGAAAAAGCACACCAGTTAGAAGTGTTATTGAAATTGTTATATATGTAACTGGAAGTGCTGTACGGTAGCGGTATTGCGGAACCTTAGACCACGATCTTTTAGTTATGTCAAAAAAGTATACTTTGTCCATAGCGCAGTTATTCGCATTCTTCAGTGTGTACTTTAGATATCTCGATTATGCTGGCATATAGCATATATACATCGTGGGGGGCAAAAACAGACATTGCCTGCACTTCCAAGATTAAGCACATTTACTAACTCAACCGGAACGGTGCACCTATTATTGAATAGATGCATCGATCTAATAAGAAAATCTCATATAGCCTCGACGTGACGCCCTCAGTAAACTTAGCCCTGGAAACATGGTCTACTGGTCGATCTCAAGTGGTCTTCGAGGATCGTAACCATAACGACCTTACTGGAAGCTAGTTTCGAGGGATTTGCACAGTGGTTAATGCTTCTGAAAACTATCCAACATTAAACGATTCACGAAATGGTAGAGCTCAGGCTGAAGCTCTTACGGTTAGACTCTTGAGCTGACGAGGTGACAGATGACCGTCACATTCGAAAAACGGGAGCATGAAGGAATGCCGCGTAACAGTAATAAAGGAACACTTAGAAATATCTGCTGAGAACTCGCCGTTCCACGAACAGCAATCCTGCGAAAAAAAGAGCCGAATCCGACACTAGGCAAAATGTTTTTTTTTTGGCCCCCCTGTAGGTCTTTCGCTATTTAGGCTAGTATAAAACACTGACTGCATCCGTTGTGATCCGTATGTGTTCAAATAGGTAGTCAGTATGTGAGAAATATTCAATCTCTATGGACATAACTCTTGGCTGTACTCTCGACATGTTTGTGTCTATTAAAGGAATCCTCCGCGGAAAATTCTTGCATTCTTTCTCAAACTGAACGCATCAGTTGTGATCACTAGGAGAGCACGCAAAATTTCGCGCATAAAGATTCGGAATCCGAAGAGATACAAACTTACAAAAACTACGCTCAATGGACAATCGGAGGTACGAAGTGTAAAAGGCGCGGAGTCAAAGGCGTGCATGGAAAGAAGTCCGCTTATGGGCGGCTACGCATCAGACGACGTGATGAACAATCGAGTTCAAGCGTGCGATTTTGGAGAGTAGAGACAAATCGATCGATAGAATAGGATGTAGTAGAGGTTCGAGATGTTAATGCAGTAAGTTAAAAGGCCATAAAAGTTTCTAGTAACGGCTTTCGAAGAATCAAGTGGAATCATTTCCGTCGCCTGCACTTGTGATAGATGTGTGGCGATACGTTGAACGCGTAGCATCCTTTCCGCTATTTCGAATTTCTTCTCAAAACAAATGCAATTTTTCTGTTTTTTCATTCTTATCGTGGATGACATGTCCCAAGCCAGTGATTGATGGCCGGAATAGAATCATGATTTTTCTGTGAAGGATACCTTTAAGATTGATTACTATTCTCTACAGGCATTTTAGCAGGCTGATACTGAACTTATCATAAACACAAATTATTTCAGCTTCTCTACAGAATATTACACTGATTGCACCGGTTGCTGGTCTATTGATATTACTGGGGCTTCTCTGTTGTTGTGTGGTTCGCAGAAGGCATGAATTACTGAAAAAAGGCATAAAATTTGTTGGTCAGTTGTTTTTTTAGCAATCCTTCTTTCTTTTTTTGTTATGCGTGTCACCAGCCCACCTTTTTCACACTTATAATAAAATAGCCCTTGACCATTACGTGTTAAATATTAGTTTCCTCTCATGTAGGCGCCTATACATACTAACATTTCCGGGGAAGAAGTGGGCCAAATCTTTATAAAGCCTCCATTTGTCCTGACAGCTTTGGTACCTTTTTGTAGTACATAGTGGAAGCTTTTTTTTCGAGCAGAGGAGAAAGAACCTGCTACAAATGCGATTGCTCATGTGAGGGGTCTTCTTCTTCTTCCCAGCGTTAGTCCCGCACAAACGCAGGGTCCACTACCTTTGTCAGTAGTCGCCACTTTGCTCGGAGCAACAGTACGGAGCAGCACTGCTGTAGAAAAGCAGCGTCGTTCTTCAAGCGGTGATGGGAACGCGGCGTGAGCTGTAGAGGGCTGCTCCGATGGCCAGGGTAGGGATCAAATCAGGGTGAATAACAAAGGAGAATTCCCTCGATGGTGGCTCTGTACTGTGCGAGGGTGACGCCGTGAGTGAACATACGCTCGGAGAGTACGGCCGGGTCGCCCACGGCGGCTGTGAATGTCGCACGGGGGAGCGTATTGATCAGGAGAAAATCCTCGACGTGCCGTTGAAGAATCCTCGACCGATATTCACCCAGGATCAAATAAGCTCTGTACTCGCCTTACGGTCGGGCGCTCCAATGTCCACCAGCGCGCTCCAGAGCAACGTGATTGCTGTGGTACCTAAGCAACCATACTCATAAGTCGTGATGGCTTGTGAACATTATTGTAGTAGACTTGGTAGCGACTGAGAAAAACGATAAGGGTATTGATCAACAAAAACAATTTAACAACTTCTACTGGAAATGCGATAAGTGATGTACGCAGGAGAGATGCTTATGAAGTCAAGAGCGAGAAGTGGAAAGTACCCGCAAAAGAAATATTATCAAACCAGCTTGATTGTCCTAAAAGACTTTCGATGACTGTGTGGGGTTGAAATGGCGACAGTGGTGCAGAAGTGAGAGGTTCTCATCTAATAAAATTATGTCCAATCCATGAGTGAAGCGACTGATAATTCCATTGCCACGACATGATTACTTGGGATCTGAGAAGTGTTCACAAGGAACGTTAGCTATTCACTGCTCGTGCCCCAGAGGAAACAGGAAGAGAGGAAGTTCGTTTCTGCACTGTATCCACTGCATCAGGACGAGCTAGATTTATTGTTTTGGGTTGAAGTGTCGTTACGTGTCGAGAACTAGCCTCAGAATCGAGGATCTTGCGACAGTCTTGAAGCCTTGCAATTTGCTTTCGGCTATAAAAACTTTTCTGAGTACCATGATTTTTCGGGTGTCCCCCAAGAGGCCCGTCGCGCGGCGAAGGAAGAGACGCAGATGCGGCAAAGGACGAGTCGCAGCGCGTGCTGTGCGATATGAGACGTAGTATGGTACACTCTATTTAACCTGACGCCTAACCGCTACAGTACGCGCTGCGACTCGTCCTTCGCCAAACGACGGGCCTCTTGAGGAACACCGGATTTTTTCTGAAAGGCACCAAAATTATGAAAACGGAAATTATTATTATCTGATTACAGATGATCCGTCTGACGTCACGGTGAAATGTGAAGTACTTGATGGCTCATTTTATCCTGCGATGTACAGCTGTAGCGCTGAACCTGGGAACGTCGTTTCCTCAAAGGTATTTTCTTTTCTTAATCCTTAGACTACGATTTTTCTAAACTACACTATCAGTTTTTGATTGTTACAAAAACAAGTCAAAATCAACTGCTAAAGCTTTCAGCCTCGCGGTCATTGCCGATATCGGCTAACCGGCTCAACACGTTATACGTGTGAGTGCTGAAAGCTATGGTACGTATACCATGAAAGCTGAGTTGGAATGAAATGGTGCCCCGGTAGCGTAACTGGTAGCGCACTTGCCCGGAAAGCGAGAGGTGCGGGTTCTAGTCCCGCCTGGGGCGAAAGTTTTGTTCACAACCCAGCATTCTTGTGAAATACATATCAGTGTTCTTCGCGTAGTACTATTGCTCCTGGAACTATAGAAATCTGAATGACGTGTGCCGGATTTGACCTAGGGTTTGATTCAAGGACCATGCGCGCGGTAACGGCCCCTCTTGTCACCACACCATCTCCGCTCAAATGAGCATTTAAGGAGTATAAATTGGCAATTTGACCACCATTTACGAATTCACATTATTCATGCTTCATTCGTGGAAGAAAGGCGATGTGCGGTTGGGACCACTTTTGAGAAGATTTGTAAGCCGCCCCCTTTTGAGGCGCTTTGAGTCCCACCGGCTGAATCTGCTTCAACAAATTTCCATCGACTTCCACTGCTTCGAAGTCTGTGTTGTCATAAGACTCTTCTAACTCCACATGCACACCAGAATCTGTCAGATCCTTGGGAGATGAAAGCTTTAACACTGTCGTAGAAGGCCGCGTTGTCCTCTGGCTGATTTTTGGCTCATACAACCCCATTTATCGTCGGTCTGTTTGCTCATGTTGCACTGGTGCAGCAATTCAGAAAGATCTAAGACTATTAGCGTGAGTACTGAAGTTAAATTTTTTGGGAGCTGCGTACACTGGCCACCCACTGACCCGCGGTATGACTTGCTTTGTTGACTTCCTCAGGGTAGCTCGTTTCGACTTCTACCAATGAATTCTAACACTTTGCGGACAAAGAAGGGACTACAAAAAGGCTGTTGTCTGTCCTAGAGCTGTGGTAGTGCCTTTGATTACGGGAGTAGTACACATGTGACCACCACTAGTCAAAGGGTTAAACAGCTAAATCAAATTGCAGCATTTCTACAGATAGTACAGAATGGTCGCTTTTGCATGGAGTGCATCGAAATATCAAATATGTTAGCTGCACCTAAACTTCACATCATCTAGCATTGGTTTGAATTTCCACTTTCCACTTGTTCGTCGGTCAGATCATTCCTCCTACTCTTCAGCTTCTGCAACTTTGTTCTGATTGTCTTGTTCTGTGTGAACCTTTTACCTTAAGGTGTTCGTACTTGCTTGTTTGAATCTTAGACCACATCTCTATCAACTCTGCGTTTAAACCTGTGCGGATCCCATCGTCTTTTCCATTACCCTCAATCTTGAGCTTTGATAGTCTACTGAGCATTCGCCTTGAGGGACACAGGATCGCATGCGTAAGCGAACTGCATAGGAGTCTATCCAGCGTAAACGGGAACGGCCACACGACCGTCTCTCTTTGCTCTAGTGCAATTTCATAGCGTAGTGCCGTGCTCACCCTCATTATCCTTCCATTAGTCTTCACTATGTTAACGGCTTGAGTCGGAATTATGCGTTCAAAAGAACTCCTTCCACCGACAATAAGGTTGGATCTGCAACCGCAAAAGTGGTGCCGCACTCGGGACTCGAAAACCCGCAGTAGCAGCGCCCCCTGCTTAGTGCATAGATTTAGGACCATGGCCGTCCACACGGGAGGTGGTGGGTGGTCGGTATAGAGAGTGAAATCAGCTGGGTAGGGTGCGTTGATTCAACTGCTGGAACGGAACAAGCAGTTGCTGAGATGTTCGGAAAATTCGTTTGGAAATACCCTCTTCCCAAGCCAGCCTCATTCGCTGCTGTTGAAAGGGGTTTTTGACGCATTTGCAGCTCGACTCGGACCCGGCCCGTGCCTTTTACCCTTTGACGACAATGGCACTCACTGGTGGGTGCCTGGCTGTCTGTTGCATGGAACAGTGGCACCCAATGGTGAGTGCCATCTGTAACTTTTTTATATGTGTATTCAAAACATGTTTAATATGACAGCAATTTTCAGCAGGCTTTGTAATATCTTTGCCCAGCATGGTTCATATAAATGTTTAATATGAGGTTTTTTATATAAAATTTTAGAGCGTGGCATTAAGCTCGCGGCATATCAATTGGAATTTCGCATGATTAGGCTGATAATTACCTACCTATTGAGGCTCCCTCAACCTTCAAAACACAGGAATAAGTTCAAACTGTATCAAACATTCTACTGTACACGTTAATGTCCTGGGATTTATCCTCCTTCCCTTTCAAATCCGAGTTCACCTTCGAAACTTACAATACTCTTTCCAAAAATATATAGCGTTGAAGATTGGAGCTGCAGTTATATCCAGTACCGCATTAAGCCCTAAATTCGATAGAAAAACTGTTTTGAGTGCAATTTTAACCAATATTGAGCGAATGTTGGGTGCGGTAAAAAAGGCGTGGTCCCTTGAGCCCGCTATGTGCAAATTCGCACTGTCCTCAAAGGTTTAATGCTGCCATGAATTCCCTAGTTGCTAACCCCATGTTGCCTGCGATCATTGTGAGTGAATTTGCACGTAATCGTGAACTCTTACGTGCTTCAGATTGAATTAAGCGCTCGACATTGTTACCTCATAGTGTTACTAGGTGTTGTTCTTCCCTTTTTTCCATACTCATGAACTGTTCATAAATAAAGGAATCCTTCGCGGAAAATTCTTGCATTCTTTCTTGACATGAATGTGTCAGTTGTGATCACTGGAAACAGCACACAAAGTTTCACGCATGAAGATTCGGTTTCCGAAGAGAAACAAACGTACAAAAACTACACTCTATGGACAATCGAAGGTAATTCGGGCGGAGCCAAAGGCGAGGCATGGAAAGAAGTTGGCCTTTGGCCGGCTACGTATCAGGCGACGCAATGAAAGAATCGGGTTAAAGCGCGCGATTTCGGAGAGTAGAGACAAATCGATCGATAGAATAGGATGGAGTAGAAGTGTAAGATGTGAATGCAATAAGCAGAAGGCCAGAAAGAGTTTCTAGTGAAGGCACTCCAAGAACCAAGTGGAAGCATCCCCGTCGCCAGCATTTGTGAAAGACGTCCGTGGGCACTTTGAACGCGTAGCAGCCCTTTCGATTTTTCGAATTTTTTACCAAAACAAAAGCAATATTTCTGTTCTTTTCATTCTTATCGTGGATAATGAGTCTCAAGCCAGTGATTTATGGCTGAAATAGAATCATGATTTTTCCGTGAAGGATTCCTTTAAAACCATCCACTGATAGTTTCCACCTGGCCGCTAACTTATGGGCCAGCAACACGGAAGGAATTAAATTTTATCAATTAAGTGATATTAAATAATAGACGAATAATATGTGACGCAAAACCACCATTAAATTTTGCAGGATTACGTGTCGATTCCACAGAACAGTCCGGATTTGGATTATATACAGAGCACGGCGTTTCCCAATCCGCTCTACCCTACCTGCGTCAATTCTTCTTTGAATGAGTACAATGTAATGTGCGCCAGATTCGAGCACTCGTATGGATCATTCGCGTCAGGAGTCTCAACACCAGGAGGTTTGTTATTAATACTCGCTTATTATGGACCAGATCTGAATTGTTTCGTTTTTTTTTCGTCTTCACTGGACCAGCATTTTTTCCGTCGACTGAGAAAAACAGTTCAGATTGAAAAAATATCATATTGAAATTCCCAAGGCCGACGAAATCCCTAGTAAATTCCAAATCATTGTAAAAAAAAATGACAATTCATCAAAGCACTCGACCTCATGATAAAAAAATTAAGCAGATTGGATGCTCCGTTGCAGTTCTTCTAGAGTCACGAAATGTCGACTGGGTCTAGTATGCAATCAGTAAATGAAGTACTCCACTGTCGAGGGACGGCCTCCTCAATATTTCTCCTTATTTGAAGTTTCTTTTCCATGGTTCTTCCATCTGTCAAAAGATTCCTCACTAATTCATAGTGTCTTGATGGGCATGCGTTCGAATTGGTCCCTCCGCTTAAAGCACGCCATGTAGTTAAAGCCACTCCTTGACAGTAGAGGTGCTATGCTTCGAGTCGCTTTATTGCTAAAAGGCAAAATCACTATCGTCCCCGTCCTATACGTATCATGCACAGCACCTTTCAGAACCTACCTTGTTATGTCCGCATCGATCACTTTCTAAATCCTGAGAAGTGGTTCACTTCTTTTGCGGACCACCATGCCGAGCCTTCGCCTTGCTTCATGGATGGTGGTTAATACTTAGATCGCAACGCTTTCTGCCACGATCCCACACAGTGCCAGTGCCATCGTGCCATTGCCACCAAACACCGTAAATTTGTTTTTGTCGCTCTAGACAATGCTGGAGGCATAGGAGATCTCCAGTTTACGTGTGCGCAGAACCATCTCATCCCTTACCACTTCGCAGTCGGACAACTTCAAAGGATTCAAGAAGGGGTGAAAGCAGACGTATACATTTACAATTAGGGCAACAGGCCCATTGTGAGGTTCAATCCTAGACGACCAAGAATTGGCTGGAAAAGCTCCTAGAAACTTTAGAGATGTGAGATAGGCTTAGGACCACGTATTCCATATTTTGCGAGATAATTTTTCGTTTCCCTTAAAAGTTCCTCTACATCTTTGTTCGTTCCGATGAGCCTATACTCAGGGTCATAACGAATCCCATGGAGCAATGTTTGCATGAGGTTTTAAAAAATAAGCTGGACGGATAGATGTAGCATCTACAATCTCTGACGAGACGTAAGTTAATGACCTACTATTGCCTCGATATTCTGTTACTATAGCGTCACTTGCATTTCACATAATTCAGCTAACCAACGACTTATTGAAGTCTGAGTGACATCAACAGAATATCGAATGAGTCAGACAAAAAGCCCCTCAGACTCTGCAATCATCATTTTATACCCTCACTAACTGTTTGCTCCGCCTATCATGAGCTTTCTCACGACCCTATTACACCCCTACTGTGCATAAGTGGTCTCGACGGCCTGGAATGCTTGCAAGCGAGGGACCAATTCTAACTCGTGTCCTGTGCTTCATCGGCACACTATGGAAAAGAGTGAGGGACCCTTTGGGAGGAACGATAGCCGGAAGTATGGAAGAGACACTCGACAACTTTAAAAAATAGAGGAACGTTCCCCAATAGACGATGAATTCATTTATTAATTCCACTACGTTCGCACAGTTAAGGTATCAGCGAGTCTAGAAGTTTACCGACAAAGTATCGAACCTGCATGAAGTTTTACGAATCATGGATTTGATTGTTTTCTCGGATTGTAAGCTCTTTAAAGTAAGATGAAGTTTTGATGGAATTTGGTCATCCTCGTGGTCCTGTTCAGCACGTTTATGTCAGCTCAGAGAAGAGGGTCTGCCTTCAAAACATCAAAATTTCAAGTGACTTGTTAGAGCAGAAAAAAATACAGCCGAAAAGAATTCCACCGAGGACTTTTGAGCGCCACTCTACATATCGTATAGGGCAAATTTTGGTGCCAGTACGAGTTTCACTCCCTTTGATGTCGAAAGTGTATGGCCTCCTCTTCTACAAATACTCTCGAAGCAGAAATTCGAAGGAATGGAATCTTGAGTAGGCATACCCAGGGTCGTGGTCCAGTGCATTGACCCTAGAGCATGTCATGTCCCTGTCCGAGAGAGAGAGCAAGCCCCATTGTTCGCGGGAGCTTCTATAAAATCCATGGCTTGCGAAATTCTCGAAAAACTCAAATCCTCCTAGACCACTACGTCCTACCAGTAGCTGCCAAGCCTACTCTGACCTTGTAAAGTAAACAAGTTAAATTTCAGATAAATGCTCGGTTTTCTAATCCAATAATAAGCCTCTCTGTGATGTTGTCCAATGCGATAGGAAACGCTGAAAGAATAAAATTATTGGCTATGATAAGGAACAAGCTATTCTAAACGGTCACTTAAAAAATGTCCCATTAGACAGCTTTTTGCTCATGCAATTTTTGAAGCTTCACTGTTTTAAGCACCATTATCTTCCCTTGAAATTTGTAATGAATCAACAGACTGGGGCTGTGCAAGTAGTACTCACCTATGAGAACTACTACTCAATAAAAAATAGTTCATCACGTTGAAGAAGATATAGTTTTCACTGTTGGAGGATCAATTCAAGGAGAATGTTTAAAGCTCATCCTTCCTGTATCTTGATATTGGTGCATAGATAACGTAGAACATCAGGAGCTGAGTTACATCACGTATTCCACTGGGCTTAGATATTCGTATGAACCGGTTTTATGAACATGGCGGTCTGACCCATGGAAAAGTAGAACACCAAACCTTCGTTTATGACGACTAGGCAGCCGAGATGTACATATCCAGTTTTGAATTTGCGGTTCTTCTCCAAATAGTGTGGATAGTGGAGCCCTCATAGACGCATGTTCCAGATTTTTTGTGTAACTGCAGGTTTAGGAATAAGCACTTTTTATATACCATATCTGTGTGTCATGGTAAAGCCGTCTTGAGCAAACAGTCATCCCGATGGCGAACCCTCAAAAACGCAGGATGAATAGTGATCAGTTGTTATTGTTCGCGCAACTTTCTGTCGTTACATAAATAGAACACTTGAGGGTCCTAGAGGTGAAGTAGTTCCCTGAAACTTCAAAGTTTAGACGTAATCGTGAAATATTCTTTCTCTTTGCTATTACTTTTTCTATTCCTGAATTTCAGGCTTTTCTGATGTGTACGCCGTGTCCACTGAGAAAGCGCAAGGCTTAGAGACTCTCCAAGAGATCGACACTCCGAAAACGTCAACTCACAACCTTGTGCCATCTCCCGATAAGATAAGACCACCAAGTCGGGCATCCACACATGTATAAACTTCTGTTTTGTGCCATAATATCGCAACAGTGATCTCCCTCAAGCACTCCTTTTTGTCATAGAAAAGGCTTGCTTTGGCGTTCTTTCTATATGAGAATTAAACGTGCTGTGCTACGATATGTCGAAAATTTCTTGTTTCTTCAAAATATCGTGGAATTCGGGTTCTTTTCATTTGTTCATGTGTAATTGTTTTTTGTCGACAGAAGCTTCATCTGGAATGAATGCGTCTTAACTACGTGTTTTCTTGTGGTGTAATCAATCGAAGTTCAGAAGAGGCAACTGCTGTTACCCGCCATACTTGAGCAGGCCGGGTTTTTTATGCCTTCAACTTTCAGTACTGGTACACCAGAACCACTGTTCAACAGCTTGATTCAGATCAAGGAGAACCAGAGCATTTTACAATACTAAAACAACGAACTTCTGTGGAAGCAGAATTGCACGTGACAGTGCTTACCGATTGCATGCTTACAAAACATGTCGTCGTGGCGTCGGCACGATCCATCTCTTGCAGAAAAAGTGCCGTTCGTTTGTTGAAATACAAAACAGAGGTTGTACCGTAATTTATCGGAGGCAAAATGCTCACTTTTGTGAGCTGAGCTGATCGCGGACATTCGAATGCAGGCGACAGGCCCCCGTGACAGGCCGGCCTACGAACACCCACGTCACATCACAAATGTCAATGTCGCTATATGAATCTCGAGATAATGCTACGGCGTCCGCGGGAGCCGACGCGCACTCGCAAAGCCCGGCGAGTGTGAAAAGTATGCGAGGGTCTCCGGTGCAAGGACGGCATCGGGGGGCAACTAGGCTAGTCCAAAAGCCAAACGTATGGACCCGCGTTGCAACATTAAATGTTGGCACGTTGACGGGCCGCTCCAGCGAGTGGCAGAAGCGCTAGAGCGCCGACGAATTGATTTCTGTGCCGTGCAGGAAACGAGGTGGTCCTGCTGCAAGTCGAAGGGACATTGGCCGCGGCTTCGAAGCCATTCTTTATGGCGGTCCCGAAACAACTGGCGGTGCCGGTGTTCGTGACTCGATTGTCGCCTTCGAGCGTTACCTGATGAAGATCGTTGTCGCTCTTGAGCAACGTCAACATAACTTCTTCGCCTACGCCAAACACAAATAAGTCGGCTTGATAATCAGTCTGACAAAATGGCGGGACTTTAATACTTTAGTAAAATATTGGCCATGCGATGTTTGAATTGAGCTAGTTATAAATTAGCTGGTATATTCTTAGCTAGCTTCAAGTACCGACTACCCGCTCTGAAAGTAAAGTTCCTTGCACGAAGGTTAGTTCGGGGTCGCTGTAAGCGAAATCTTTTCAAGTCCTCCTCTCGTTCTTGACGATGTCGTCTTGAAGGCGTTGGAAAAACCCGGAATAGACCAATCCTGCGTCATCTTATTAACTAAGCAGATGTCAAAAACTTCGCGCCTCGACTGTAGCGATGGCAGCCCTAGATACCTGTTCCTTATTGCTGCATTTGGAATTTTAGAGTACAGAAAACCCTCCAATTCGGATAAGCAATTTACGAGTGAAGTTATTCTGTTCTTTCTCAAGTGCATATATGTGTTTCGTTTTTGTAGGATTTTACTTGAGGTCGGACATAGGACTTGTAATCACATATCAATGCTCGCTTTCTAGTAACTGACAATCCCTTAAAAATTTGAAATGTACGTAACTGGGCCATTTTGGTCCTCTTCAGGATGTGTTCTGAAAAATCAAGCTTGTTGTTATAGTAAAGCCAAGGTCTAACAGATTCAACTGCGGAAAGAGGGACCCCATCAACCGTGTACGAGTGCAAAAGTGGTGGAGTTTCGAGACTTCAAATTCATGTATATCCGTTTTTTGTGGAGCTATAGGCAGTTGCCACTCTTTGGACCAATTCACTGTCAAGTCAATAGCTTCTTGCAGATTTTGAGAGTCATTCAAGTGTGAAATTGATTTTTAGATTTTCATGTCATCTGCGTAAACTTAGCCCGATATCTGAGAGCATTTCAGGAAGCTCAGCCGTAGAAATATTAAAAAGATCTGGCGATAATACGAGGTTATCACCTGTAGCATGCAGGAGACGTGCCCTTTTTCTGGGCAACTTCTCAACTCTCTTACTTTAGAAATCCGGCGTTTGCTTTGAAAAGAAGCGCTTCATCCAATTTTCGAGGTGACCTCAATCATTGGATTTTTTCTCTTCTAGGTAGCGCTTCAGTGTACTAATTACGCAATATTTAGAAACGACTAAGTCGGGCGAGTAAGCCAAGCACTGCAGAATTTCCCGATCAAAATCCACGATCTCTTCATATGTAATCCTTCGCCACATACAGATATGGGTTAGGGTGGGGTAACACCGTATCGAGAATTTCTGCGTGATTTGACGCATGGCTTCGGCCAAATTTCGAAGGTTGTTAAAGCCGACAATGGTCGCCACCGTGGTGCAGGTATCCAGCGGCTTTCTGTAGAGAAACAGTTCAGTAAGTGCTGCGCCCACACGGTGGATAGAACAATATAAGATTTATTTGACAGAATAGGAAGCACGGCCAAATGCAGTACATAGGCTTGAAGTGAAGTGATATCACTACGGTGAACAAGGCATCGAGTAAAAAAAGGCTAAACGAAGAAGTGACGGGCGCCTGCTGACTGTCCGGCGCGGATTCCGAGGCCTTCCGACCAGGGTCGGTCCTATCGTTGCTACTTTTTGGATTTTTTCTACGACCCCCCCCCCTTCATGGGCGATTTGGTACGACCCCCCTGTGTGTAGCTCAAGTGGTGATAAGATTACTTAAACAATAATAATCGTATAAATACAGAACTTCTTTTAGACAAGAATGCTGAATTTCGGTTCAAATTTCATAAAAGACGAGTTACCGTTCCGAAAAACAGCGTACGCATGGAATTTGGACATAAAGTCATTTGTGACGCGGACCTCATGGCTGAGGGCTAAAGGATTGACAGGTTTTGAATGTGGTGGATCGCGCCCTCGGTGACTGCAATGGGGCGCGTTTGTTGAATGGGAACAGGTGTCGAAAGGGGAAATTGAGAAGTAGAGGAATTTTTCCTTGTAAAATTTCAGGTTCCTCGGAAGACGGAGGTGGATTCTGGATCACCGACGGTCATCCTTCTTAAGTAGAGCGGATTTGTTCTTAAACAATCTGAAATAATTAAGTTGTTGAATTTTCACCTTCCTCTTTTTAGGGCTATAACTTTCTTCATATTCGAGCTTTTGCGCCGGAGTTATTTGATTTGAAAAATTCAAATTATTCTCTCTCCAACCATGGGTAAAAATTCTTCGAAAGTTAATTTAATAAAAATTTAGTACGTTGTTACTTTTTTCTGTGCAAATGCGACTTTTTGACCTTTAAACGATCATAACTTCCTTCAAAGTCATTCATTTGGGAAGCTGAACACGGTATAATAAACTACAGGATTCAAGCTTTCTAAAAAGCACCCAAGCGTTCCTGAAAGATCAGTAGTTCAAAAATTAGTCCCGTTGTTACTTTTTTGGGGGTTTGCGTTACTATTTTTCTGGAACCGCGACTTTTCAACCTTCAAACGATCATAACTTCCTTCAAACTCATTTATTTGGGAAGCTGAACACGGTATGAGAAACTACAGGATTCAAGCTTTCTAGAAAGTGCCCAAACCGCCACCGAGAGATTACGACCCCCCCCCTCCGGGTCCATCCAAGTACGACCCCCCCGTTGCTACTTGTAGCAACATAGGGTTGACCCTGCTTCCGACGGCTTTGCAGATCTGCTTGTGGCATCATCGGCCTTCCTTTAGCGTCCCAGCGTTATCGTCGCAATCCATTTCCAACATTCCAGCCTGAGAAATATTTTCGGTCAATTTCTTAGCTACAGTATCCTCTACAGTTCGCAACCTCATCAGAAACACTAAAAAGTCCTTCTCGACGAGGACTTTTTAGTGTTTCTGCAGGCAGGTTTCCTGCTGGTCGAATCCAGTAGTGCTTATGTGTATAGTTTAGTCAAGGCCAGAGCTATCTTCATTAGCCATCATTTTTGTCAAGAGATTCCTTTGATGCGAAAGAAGAAGAGAAATCTGAATCATGGTCACACGGTTCGCCTCCCCAGACTGGCGCAACCCATGTGGTGTCAATGGCGAACATACTGATCTGTAACCGAGATCGTGCAGATCCTCGATAATTGTCGAATGAATGCACTAAGCGTTGTTGTTAACCCTACGACTGGTAGCAATCGGCTGCGCCTCTTGGAAGTTGAGTAAACGCTCTTCAGTCATCATCTACTGCCGTCCAGCTCCGTGCCTCACTTCGAACAAAATATCTCCAGTTGCGAGGCAATAGGGCCAACGGGACACCATGGCCTAGTGAATGACATCCCTCCTGACTACAGCAGCGCCCGCCCAACTTCGGCATCACCTGTATCACCTGTCGTCCCGTTGATCATCGATTTGCGCGCAGCAACGTCTCCATTCGTCCCTGTCGCGTGCAGAGTTGTCCAGTGGACCCTCCTCGCTCGAGGGACACGAAGTCCTTCATTCCTTTCGTTCAGAGCTTTCGTGAAGAAGTCTGACCATCGGGCCGGCGGTCGTCCAGGTGTTCGTTTGACGTCGGTAACCGCTCTGGTCCAACGGTCATCGCAAAATCGCATGACGTGTCCGGCCCACCTTATCTTCGATTCCTTGGCGAAAACGCGCATAGGGTAACTCCAAGCATCGTCCTCTCGATGGCGCGTTCGATAACGCTTACCGCATTCTCGGCCTGCCTGCGCAGCAGGGTGAATATCGCTTGAGGATTCCTCAACGGCACGTCGAGGATTCTCTGCCCGATCAGACACGATCTCTCGCGCGGACATTCACACTCGCCATGCCGTGCCGTCTGTGCTCTCCGCGCGGATGTTCACTCTCGGCACTACTCTCGCATGGTAGAGAGCTATGGTCGAGGAAATTCCTCGACCGTTATTCACCCTGCTGCGCAGAGTCCAAGTCTCTGAGGCGTAGGTTAAGGCAGGAAGGACTGCAGAATCGAAG